CACTTGTGAGACAATCAAATTTGTTTTGAAATGGAATCCAGATGACCATTCTTTCTCCAATATCAAAGCCCTCCTATGGAAAATGTTCAAGGATAATCAAGTGGAGGTGGTAGTGATCAAGGAAGGGAACTCCATCATTGTTACTTGTTATGCTCCTCATTATCTGATGGAGAGTTTACTAGTGACAGCTAGAGATAGCGTTGATATGCTAAAGGAGATGGGATTGATTAGTTTAACTATTGGTTACTATACTGTGTATGATGAACATGCAATTGATGAGGTTAGTAAATGTATGTGTATATAAATTAATAGTATAGTTTAATATTTGATAGGAGGTGAAGAGTCTAATGAAGAAACTGGAGATGGTAGAGAGGGAAAGAGATGATTTACTTGAGGAGAATGCTAAATTGAAGGGTACAATAGACACATTAGGTATATACTAATTATTATTAATTATAATTATTGATAATTTAAATGTATCTCATATGAAGGTAGAGAAGTTGATGAAAGCAATAAGTCATCAATACAATCATCAGGTATAATGAGATTCATGTTTTGAGACATGATATCTATGAATATTGTCATGTTCATGAATTTTGAATAAATACATCATGTAGCTGAATTGTTGTTGCTAATAATTTAATTTGTTCATTTTTATTATTTAGAGTCTGAGAAGGAAGAGAATAAAAAGAAGATGAAAAAAGCAATGAAAATGGAAATAGAGCATTTACAATCATCTCTTCAAAGCAAAACAGGTATATATACAGACATACTTAATACTGTATAATGACAATATAGTACAGCTGTGATTAGAGTATCATTATTGCTTGTACATTAATTTGTTATAGTAGGAGGATGATTGTATATACTCAATACTAATACTGGTCCTTCTTACATGCAATTAAATAATACACAAATTATTGATAAAATTAATAATATTTAATGTTTTTAATAATAGCGACCAATTTTTGATTTGTATTAATGACTATTATTAATGACAGAAACGTTAATTGGAGTAGAGAAAACATTAATTGAAAGAGAAAAGGAGATAGAACAGCTACAGGAAAAGATATCATTAATGAATATACAACAACTGAAAGAAACTTCAATTACTCTTAGTATGTATTACATTATATTAACATAATGACTAGTACTGGTATTTTAGGAAATGATCAGCCTACAAAATATATGGATCCACCAAAAGGACCAGTTTATGTAGCTATTAGAGAATGGGAGGCAAGGGATAGTCCTCAGCTTTCAATCAATAAAGGAGAGAAACTTGAGATCAAGAAAGAGCGTACTGATGGATGGTGGCTAGCAAGATCATTAGATACTGATCAAGAGGGATTTGTTCATATTAGTTTTATTAAAAAAGATGAAGAGAGTGAACTGTCGACATTGGAATCACTTGAACTATTTCATTATGCAATGACTGAAAATGTTGACATACCTAAAATTAAGGAAATTAAGACGAGGAGCAACGTTGAGAGAGCAAGTCTCTTTTTATCATTAATTAAACAAGATTCAGTTCTGCTAGATCAACTTAGAACAAAAGAACATGGTAAGATATATTTATATGTACTAATAATCTAGAGTATTTTGAGGGCATTAGATATTGTCCATGATCTTCTATTTTAATACTATATTTTAAAAATTAATCAAAATTAAGGTCTTCTGTCATACAAGATTTTCTTTTTCTGTGATTCAATTTTCTGTGAAGTGCAAATTTTTGTACATTATAAAATCCCCCAAAATAATCAGTATATGCAGAAGTGTTGCTTGCCTTAGCCATTAAAAATATGATAGTAGAGAATTATACTTGATAATACAGTAATTAATTATAATTGTTTTGTATTCAGGAAAGCCTAAAGCAATTAGGTGGTATGATGATTGTGTTCAACTGACCTCTCCATCTTTAATACAATGTCAAGAAGTAGTTTCTCTATTAACATACAAACATACGAACATTTTCATCATCAAATCATCTCCTAACGTTGTGTGTGATCTGTTGCCAGTCTTCTTACAAAATGAAAAGGTGAAACACTTGAGAATACAAGACACTCAACTAACAAAGGACTGCATCTCATCCTTATGTAACTTACTGGCTAATAATAAATCATTGATAGATTTATTTCTTTATAACTGTTCCATTGATGACAAAGCAGTTGCTGATATTACAAACGTACTACAAACACACAATAACACACTTCTACAATTAGTCTTCTTTAACAATCCTCGTATTACTTCAGTTAGTGCTCAGTCTCTTTCTGAACTAATTATCAACAGTTCAGCATTAGATGAATTATCAGTAAGAGGCACTTTAATATCATTTGATGGAATATTACTACTTCTTGAATCGTTAACAATTAATAAAAATATAACACTCACTCTAGATATGAAAGACAAAGACACATGCACAGAATACCATGACTACAATATTATTAAAAATAGATTAATATTTCTGTAATTAATTAATAATAATAATAGTAATTTGCTTTTTTTGACGATGCTGACTCATCAATAATTATTTAATAATTATTAATTTAAACACAAAGTAACTAACAAAGTGATTAACACATACAAAAACAAGTAAATACAAAATAATAATAATAATTGCGTTAATCCATTTTAATGATAAATTATTATTGCAATCAAAGGCAATTAAAATAAAATAGAAGAGAATAGTACAACCAGCCTATTGGGCAAGCAGTACATGTGTCAGTTGTTATTAAAAAAAATAATAATGATAATAATAAATAATAATAATAATCATTAATTTATTCTCTTATTATAAATGAACTATTATGATGGTCCTTTGTCCCCTCTCCCTCCTCCACAGCATCCTCCCTTAGCATAGCACGTGGTGTATCAGTCTGTCTTAAGAGAGAGGCAAAAGCTGGTAAACTAGTTAAACAATCTGGTGGTAACTTACGAGCTATGAGACAAGAGAGAAAGAGAGATTATGTTACAATAGTACATACTACAGTACATCATTAGTAGTTAATCACTTATTTCAATGAACATTTTCTCAACATTCCTAGCAGTGAGGGCACTAGTCTCTCCAAATATGGCATTAACTTCTGATGCATAAGTCTGACCTTGTTCAGCTGGAATCTGAGAGCAGAGGAGAAGGGAGGAGGGAGAGAAAGGAGAGTAGATAAAAGGAGAGTGTAGTAGAGAGAGGAAGAGAGAGAGGAACTATTACAATTTCTGATACATATTGATGTCCTTATGCTGTGAAAAAAGTTTGAGTTGATTCCGACTTCAATTTTTCAAGTTATGACCATTTTTATAAAACGGTCAATTTTTTAAAAATACTCCAAAGCTATAGCCAGTGGTTTTTTCTTGAAAATGGCTCTAAAAATTACCCCAAATTTTTAATGAATTTCTATTCTCTTATGTAGATGTACATATACAATTATACTAGACATACTTCTCTTATATCTTCAAGGTCACATTTATTTCCAGCAATTGCTAATACAATATTAGGTGGACCTAGTCTGTGTAGTTCTGCTATCCAATCCTGTAACACTGTGAATGATCCCTACATGTATAACAATGCACATAATAATAACAACAACAACAACAATAGTAATAATAAATATAGTAATATACAACGTATGCCTACATAGATGTAAAATAATCTGTATAGTGGGAAATTTTTGTGGCCCAAAATTTTTGTGAATTTCTCATTTTTTACAAAATTTATGAAAATAAAATCTGTGACCAAAAAGTAGAAAACCACAAAAATGAAAGCCACGAAATCAATTTTTTAGACAGATCCACAAAAATTTCAGGCCACAAAATTTTCTGCTATATGGTAATAATTATTATTATTCTTACTTCATTGGTTATATCATACACAACAATGGCTGCTGCTGCATTTCTGTAATACATTGGTAATAGCGACCGATACTAATTAGAAGAGATAAAAAAGAATAAAAATAATAAATAAAATATATTTATTGTGTGACTTACTCTCTCCTGTCCAGCTGTATCCCATATTTGAAACTTGATTGTACTGTTGTCAACTGTTAGACTTTTCGACATAAAAGAAGCTTACAAATACATGTAGCATCTGATAAATGCATTTAACGTTTAACAAATCATGTAATATTTGATAAAATAATTTTAATGTCTGATAAATACATGTACATGTAATACTTGATAAAACTACATAAACAGATTACCATATAGCGGTAAATTTTGAAGGAGCTAAAATTTGGTGAATTGCTAAATTTTGGTGATTGCTGCCGTTTTAATTTGGCGAATTTGTGGCCACGTGCCATTCTATTTTGGCGAATGGCTATCAAAATGCCAAAATTTGCCAAATTTAATCTCCTCCAAAACTTCCCGCTATACGGTACACTACAGGACATGATACTCCCCCACATATTAACACGTTATCATATTTCATTGAGTAAATTACTAAAAGCTGCTGCCATATTTTAATAGACAACTCCCTTGGCAAAATACATTAAACTCACTAAATTTAGCTAAATTTCGAGCTATTATTAAATTATTATTATTGTATTGTGGTGTTGCTATAATTCCTTTAGTGTGGTATATGTGGTTTATTATGAGACTTAGTATACATGCATACAATTACCAGATTATATAAGTACATGTGTATATGTACACAAGTACATATAATTTAAACAATAATTTATCTATACAAGTTACCATGCATTAGGTACCTCAAAAATTGTCACAAATGCTTTATCAGTTAAGCCGAATTTGAATAAATACATAAAGACACAGGGCTATCAAACATTTACAGTATCCACTATACAGTACCAGTATACATGTACATGTATATATGTATGACACACAACAAACACACAACACTTTTGACAGTTTTTAAACTGTTTCTGCACAATTAATGTCATTTTTAACATTTTTGTAATTTTTTTGCAGAAAGTTTGTAAAATTGGCATTTTTTCAAGAAATTTGACTAATTAGAAATTCCAATTGGAAAATGGAAGACGTTTGTAATAAAAATTGGGGGTGATTTCGGAACCAATTTTTGGAAGAAACCATGGGTAGAGTACAGGGTAATTATAAAAAATTGGCTGATTTTTAAAAATGGCCATAACTCAAAAATTTTTAGGCGGAATCACTTCAAACTTTCTACACAGCATAAGGACATCAATATTATGTATCAAAAAATGTAATAAAAATTTTGAGTGATTTCGGAGCCATTTTCTTAAAAAGCATGGATGCCCATATAGCACTAACAATGACATCTAAACAGCAACTTATGCTGATTATAAATCAATCTCAGATCACAAAATGTCAAACTGAAACTCCACCACATTAAAGCATCATACACTATACAATATACAATGTACAAACCTCATAATGATAGTTTATACAAGTCAAGTCCCTCCAACAGGTACCACCTCTCATCTTTATCAAACCCTAAAGAAGGTTCCAATATTCAATCACATCCTTTCTCTCACTTACAGCTCCAATCATAATGTGGAATATTATCCAGGGATTTCCCCAGACATTGGTCCAGCTTGTGGGCGTGTGACGTGGAAACTGGTTATAACTCAAAACTGGAGATAAGAACATTGCAAGGAAACCCATTTCAAGTAACTGAGACTCCCAACCTACATGTACATGTACATGAATATCTAATAATGTACACACATTATACAATACACAATGAATATACTGTACCAGGAGCCCTGTACATGTATGCAAATAATAATTGTTTAATTAATAGGAAGTGGATATTGGTCCGGCAGCCAGACGCCTATTTCAGGACCATAGATCCGGCAGACCCTATATAGTATACTAGGGCGAAGCCCCAGTATACTAATACACGATTTTACATACAGATATCAAGTATAAATACGACAATCAGCATCATTGATACAGCAGGGTTGCAGTGGTGTAGTGGAGAGGCTGGTGTGGATTGCACGGATGGGGTTAGCGGTTCGAATCCTGTCGGGACTATTGACTAAAGCTATGCTGCAACATTTGATTTTTTTCTTTTTTTTAAATCACTTTTTTTACTTTTTTTTTTAAAGAAATAAACACCCTCTCGTACATCATAGCCTCCGGGGTCGTGGGGTTGGGATTGGGGTTTAGTGCTTAGTTTTTAGAGCACCCTCTCGTACATCTTAGCCTCCGGGATTGTAGGGTTTTGGGATTAGGGTTTCTTGATAAAAAAATAAGTTCCATTTTGCACTATTGCGCATGCACACAAGCTGTTTTACGGAGAACAACGGACTGCCAGATCTATAGCTCTGAAGTAGGCGTCTGGCTGCCAGACCAATATCCACTTCCTAATTAATAATACTTAATTAAACATTGATTTAATTAAAGTATAAATTAATAATGTTTACATTTTCTCTTTATGCAAGATATGCAGCAAATGAATTAGAATTATATATATACTAACATTAGTGATACTATTTA